TGCGCGCTGTGCGTCCCCCACACCGGGTCAAGTCCTCTCGGCTTACAGAGCGGTTGCGTCACGCCGTCCTTTTTGCACTGACCCGCCTTGACCTCCCCAGGGCCGGCCGGGCCCGGGCCCAAGAGGGCTGCCCCCCGCGGGGCCCGCCGTATCAGCGCGCGGGCGTAAGTCGGGAAGCTGCGCCCTCCGCCCTGACCCGGGCACCGCCCCGCCCTCCTGCCGCCCGTTGAGCCGATTGTTTCATTCCTTTTTTTGTCGGTGCGAGTCTTGCGGGAAAGTTTATGACGCACACGACGATGTGCACATGTTTTGCATTGTTCGTATGGAGTGATATTCAAAAATTATGTGGTAGAGTTCTTTTGGATACTGCCCTGCGTGAATTAACGCGTACTATGTTTTAGACATTCAGGCTGTTTAAACTGAATACTTGTAAAGGTTTACACTTAAATTCGAAGCCTTGAACATGTAGAATGTCTCCCGTTTGCAAGTGCCCCATCCGTCAGAGCAGTGGTTGGGGCGATCGCGTTTTTCCCGTCCCCATCAAATTTGAGCGTCAATCTGTCGTGTGAGGTGTTTTCTTCTTCTCATCGCTGGAACGCTGGCTCTGCCCCACCGGTCGCTTCAGTCAGCCCCCGATTGGTAGGCGCTCCCGGAGGCCCTGGAGGCTCCAGGTGGGCCGCCGGGCTGCGCCAAAACACGACGCCGCGGTGACAAGCTGGTGTGGAATTCGGTGGACGCGCGGCGGCACCGACTGACTCCTTATCGCCAGGGTGGCGTCCTTGACGGATGGTGTCCACCTGCGGCGTGTCGAGTGTGAAGTGCTGCCGGGGCACCGTTAGGCGGACAGGACACGGAGATGACTGGGGCGCCGCCGGGTATCCGCCCCGCCACCCGCCCAGCCCTGCCCCGCCACGCCCAAGTCCAATGCGACTCGAATCGCGTGCCGTATTGGCTCTCATCGCGTTATATCACCCGGCCGCACAGAGAGCCACCCACCCGACCGTGTCGTAATGAGGGAGATGAGGTACCCGCCCGGGTCCCACCCCCCGCC